TTGTTCCTTGGTTCTGGTTATTACCATTGGCAATCCCAGATACTTTCCTTGATGCACCCTTCTTATATTTCTTAGTCTGCTGCAGATTTCTTCTTGATCTTCTTGTGTCACATTCTTACTAAAGAACACTGAAGACTTGTCCATGTTTATCATTTGTCCCGAGCCTTTTCCATATTTTTCCAATATCCTCAGCACCTCTTCAGCTTGACTTGTATCAGCTTTGCAAAAAATCAAGGAGTCATCTGCAAAGAAAAGATGACTGATTGCTGGTCCACTTCTGCTAATTTTCATTCCTGTCAGCTTCTGGTTACTCTCAGCTTGAGCCAGCAGATTTGAAAAGCCTTCAGAGACTAGTAAGAATAGGTACGGTGATAAGGGGTCACCTTGCCTAATCCCCCTAGAAGGTATCACATATCCTCTTGCTTCCCCATTTATATTGAAAGAGAAAGTAGCTGTTGTGATGCACTCCATGATCCAGCTGATCCATTTTTCACAGAATCCCAGTTTGATCATCATTTCCTTCAAATATCCCCACTCCACCCTGTCATAGGCTTTTGACATATCTAATTTTAAAGCCATGAAACCTTGAGATTCCTGCCTTTTGTTTTTGAGATAGTGCATGTACTCATGAGAGACAATGACATTATCCAAAATTTGTCTTCCAGGCACAAAAGCTGCCTGGTTTTTACTGATGCAATTATCCAGCACTTTTTTCAATCTGTTTGCAAGTATTTTGGATATGATTTTGTAAATGACATTGCAAAGACTAATGGGTCTGAACTGCTTTATATCAGTGGGATTTTCTACCTTAGGTATCAGGGAAATGATGGTATGATTAACTGCTTTGAGCATATGGCCAGAATGGAAGAAACTTGTGATGGCCTGAATTACATCTGTTTTGAGGATATTCCAGAATTTCTGGAAAAAGTTTGGTGTCATGCCATCAGGGCCCGGAGCTTTTGTTGGGTTCATGGAAAACAAAGCTTCTTTGATTTCTACCTCCCTAACAGGTTCAGTAAGTCTAAGGTTCATTTGGTCAGTGATGGTCTGTGATATTCCTTCTAGAACCATGTCTACCTGTTCAGTCCCTTTACTGCAAAAGAGGTCTTTATAATGACTCACCACTTCTTCTCCTATCTCCTCTTCTGAGTTAGTCCAATCCCCATTCTCTCGTAGTAATCTGTGAAGCTTGTTTCTCTTTCTTCTACCCTTCACACTAGAGTGGAAGAAATGTGTATTCCTATCTCCCTCCTTTAGCCACTGAACTCTAGATTTCTGACTCCAAAACATCTCTTCTTCCTCATACGCCTCCTTTAATTGCCTTTTTAGCATCTTGTTTCTCCTCTTCTTGTCTTGGCAGTCAGTGTCTTTCAGCTCCTCCAGTTGCTTTTTTACCTTGTCAATATTCTTCCTTGCATTTCCTTGAAACTGGTTCCTCCATTTGAGGATTTCAACTCTGCAGGTTGCAATTTTCCTATGTACTTTGTACATTCTTGATCCACTGTGGGGACTATTCCAAGCCTGTTTTACTACTTCTTCCACACCTTCTTTTTTCAGCCACCTTTTATCAAATATGAATCTTTTTTTCCTTCTTTCTCGCAGGGGGTTAGCATCCAGCAATATCATACTATGATCTGAGCCAAAATTCTCAATGTGTTTGACTGTAGCTCTGTCAAAATGTTGGCTCCAGGCACTACTTCCTAGTGCTCGATCAAGTCTTTGTCTAATTTCTCCTTCTTGAGTCCATTGATTGCTCCATGTCCACGGTTTCCCCTCAAAACCCAAATCTATGAGGCCATTTTGATGGATAAAAAGTCTGAAGTCCCTAAAAGAACCTTCCTCTCTTCTTCTACCCCCCCATTTTTCATCATTGGAAACAATATCATTGAAGTCTCCTGAGATCAGCCACCTTTGTCCCCACAGTACCTTTCTTCTCTCAATCACCTCCCATTGATTCCTCCTAATTTGATCATCAGTGCTAGCGTAAATTCCTATGAACCACCAGTCCACATTAGCCTCAGAATCCATGATATGGACTTCTACTGTGAAGGCAGTAGTTACCACATCCATTACCTGCATCTCATTGCTCCACATTACCGCCATCCCTCCTGCTTTATTCATAGATTCCACCACCACACTTTCCTCAAACCTCAACTGTTTTTGTAGTTTTTCCATGAAAATTTTTCTGTTTTTGGTTTCACACAGGAGCACCAAGTTTGGGGAGAGGAGGTTACAAGCCTCCCTCAACTGGGGAATTGTCAAGGGGCTCCCAGCACCTTGACAATTCCACACCAGAGCTTTCATTTATCCATGGGTGACCAAGTTGGGCTGGTCACCTCCCCCTCACCTTCCATTACACAGCTTTTTTGACCTATCTCCATTTTTCCTTTCTTTCCCGTAACCTCAACCACGTCAACATCCACCATATCTGCATCTACTAGATGAAACTTCCTTTTTCCTGCAGGTTCTTTATTAACCAAGAGGTTTTGTATCTGTTTCAGAGGTTTCCTCCTTATAACTGGAGTTTTGGCCTGTTTCCTTCTCCTTATAGATGCCTTCTGATTGCTTGTGTCCCCAACATTTTCCAACGTTTCTTCTACTTGCATACTCTCAGTTTCTAAGTGCTTTAAAAGCTGTTCACCAGAATTCTCTGGCACCCTGTTCAGCTTTTCTGTACTGAACATCTCACCCTCATCTTTCGTAACCTGTTCCATTCTTACTGTCCCTACATTCCTGCTCTCCTCCATCTCTAATCTCTTCCCCTTTCCTTCTGTTTTTTCATTTTCACTCTCTTGTTCTTTTGTAGCCCGGTTAGTCCCTTCCTGACTACCAGCCACCTTCAGTCCAACTTCCTTATCGCCTACATCCTTAATACCTTGCTGCTTTTTTTCCATCAGTTTCCCTCCTCCTGTCCTTGGCACCAGTTCCCCATCTTTGAATCCCCAGCGCTGTTTGTTAGGAGATGTATTACCTGACTGTCTGTCTCTCCCTTCTCTCTGAGGTGACATCTTCCCCCCTCCTGCCCTGAGCCATGGCCCAAATTGGTTATCCGCCTGGCCTTTCTCCACTTGTATACTATCAGTGCAATTCCTTTCACTATGTCCTATTTTACCACAAGTGTAGCAAAAATCTGGGCACCTTTCATACCTAAAATTAACCCATATCACTTTTCCATCCATTTTAACTGTGGTACCTCTCATAAGGGGTTGGGATATATCTGCCATCACCAATACCTTAATGTGCCTTCCTTCCTTACCACCCCCTTGAGGTATGATAACTTCCTTTGTTTCCTGGAACACCGAAGCTATTTTTCTCCCCACTTCTTTCGAGAGCCAGTGCACTGGGAGGTTCCAGATTTGTATCCATAGTGGGGCGATATTAAACTCAGCCGTTCCCTCTTCAAAACCTTCAAACCAAGGCCTTACTACTAACATATGGCTGTCGATGATCCATGGCCCTCCCTTAGAGATCCTGTCTCTATCTGTGTCACTGGGGATAATGAACTGAAACGTATTGACTCCTACCTCCACAACCTTCAAACCTTTAGGGTATCCCCATGCTAAGGTAACAAAGTTTTTCACTCCCACAAAGTTTATTATTTTTTCACCTTTTATTTTCCCTACCAGGCTTTCTTCACATTCCTTCACGCTCGGTCCTACGTCTCCCCGGTCAATTTCTGTGCCACCCAACTCTTTTTTTGATAACACGAATTTTTGCAAAATCTCTGCTATCTCCTCAGCCATAGAAAACCAGCTATGTTTCCAGAGAAGGAATATCACTGACCAAGGCACCTCCAGGAGATGAAGCAAGGGTTAAGCCTACTGAATAGGGGTGGTCTAAACGAACTCTAACACTCTAGGTATGAAGCTTCCACTGAAGGGAAAGCAGTTCAGAGAGACGACTGGACAGAAAAATAGAAGCGTACAACTGCATCAGTGCACTTAAAACACCAGAAACCAACAAAAACCAACACAAGGCCTACTCTTTTTTTTTTAATTATATAAAAACCTTTTAAGGCTGTAGAAAGCCAACGAAAAAACAGAGTGCCCTCTCCTATCCACGAACAAGAAAGAAATAAACAAGATTTCGGAAATAAAAAACCCTTTTTTTTTTTTTTTTTGGAATGCACAGGATAAACGCGAGGACAGAGAGGACCTCAGCGGGAAAAATAAAACACCTTTCAAGAGTACTTGCAAAACCAGGCTAGATCCGTACAGTAACGCTTTAAAGTTACCTGTCTGAGCTTTGAAGACAGAGGTTAGTGGAAATCCTACCAGACTGCCTTGATTTTTGGCTCCACCTATCTGAAGCTGAGAAAAAATCTTGTCCGTTGTCTTTTAATGCTCCTACTTAAATCTGTCGGAAGCTTTAAAATATGTAGAGAGTTTTGTATTCTTGCATATGGGTTGGAAGTTGTATGGTCACTCAGGTTTCAGGCAAAGTTTCTCAGAAAGACCTCCCAAGGAGGGAGATCTGCACACTTCCCAAGAGAGAGAAAATTTTGAACTCTCACACGGCGGGAGAGAAAATTTTTCAACTTGGGCCCATGTATGGTTGATTGAAATCAACTTTTCCTTTTAACGGAATTTATTTTGAGTAAATATTATATATACCAATAATGTATATACTATGACAGTTAGATGCATGATATATAAGTAAAATTTGGATTTAAAATTTAAATTCAGATGAGTTATCATGCATCCAATAATAATGATGTATACATTATCAATGTATAAAAGATTAATCCTATTATTTTATGTTCAAAGAGGTGAATTTTAAAGTTACAAATAGAAGGATTAGAGAGGACCTATAACCCTCATTTATTCTAAAGGTTTTTTAAATTTTTGTTTAATCTTGGAGCCTTGCTAGACAATGCCAATGGTATGCTAACATAATAATAATTTACCATATTACAGGTGGAATACCCGAAAAGATTGGGAACCTTCACAGATTGGGGCAGCTTTATTTAGACAATAATACATTATCGGGTTTTATACCTACAGCAATTTTCAATATTTCATCTCTCCAATATATTGCACTCGACCAGAACAAATTCTCAGGAACAATTCCTTTGACAATGAGCAATAAGCTGAGCAATCTGAAGTTTCTTTCTCTCCAACAGAATCACTTGACTGGAATTATACCTACCTCCATCTCAAATGCTTCAAAGCTCGTTGCTTTGTCGCTTCATGATAATGAGCTCACCGGTTCAATCCCCAACTCTTTAGGAAGTCTAGGAAAGCTAGAATTGCTAAACTTGGATTTCAACAGGCTGTCAGGTGAATCCTCATCTCCAGAATTAAGCTTTCTCACTTTCTTGACGAGTTGCAGATCCTTGAAATATTTAGTAGTGGGATACAATCCTCTGAATGGTTTCCTTCCAGCTTCCTTCTCTAACCATTCAACCTCTCTTGTATACTTTACTGTAAGCAATTGTAAAATCAAAGGAAACATCCCAACTGGAATCGGCAATTTGAGCAGTTTACTGCATCTAGATTTTTCAGGTAATGAATTGGTTGGATCTATCCCCAAAAGTTTCAATAGGTTGAAAAATCTTCAGGTGTTCTACTTGGGCATCAATCAAATAAGGGATGTCTTGAATATTTTCTGTGAACTACATAGCTTGGGGTTGTTACAGTTGAGCCAAAATCAATTTTTTGGTGGGATTCCAGAATGCTTAGGAAATATGATAAATTTGACTCAGATTTTTTTGGATTCCAACAACTTGACTTCTATGATACCTGCCAACCTATTGAGCATGAAAAATCTCCAAGTTCTCAACCTTTCATTAAATTTCTTGAGTGGTTCGCTACCTCTAGAGATCGGGAACCTCAAAGCGGCATACAATTTGGATCTCTCAATTAATCAATTGTCAAACATTATTCCTACTACTATTGGAGAGCTGCAAGCTTTACAGAATTTTTCATTGGCAAAAAATAATCTGCGGGGCTCTATACCAGAATCAGTTAGCAATATGGTCAGCTTGGAATTCTTGGACCTTTCCCACAATAATCTCTCTGGTGTGATACCCAAGTCAATGGAGGCACTCAAAAATCTTAAGGAATGCAATGTTTCTTTTAATAGATTAAGCGGCGAAATTCCTCAAGGTGGTCCCTTCAGAAACTTTACAGGTCAATTTTTCATTAACAATGAAGCACTCTGTGGTGACTCAAGGCTTAATGTTCCACCATGTCAGCGTAATTCAACTAGAAGGTCAACTAAAAGGAAGGTGCTTCTACTTGTCATTAGTCTGTCAGGAATTGCAGCAATACTGATAATAGCAATTGGAGCAATATTGACTCTAAGGAGGCTGAAGAAACGAAAAGGTTTAGGTGGAACAGAGTTGATGTTAGTGGCAAAATATGAAAGATTTTCATACTATGACCTTTTGCAGTCAACTGATAACTACAATGAAAGCAATTTGCTTGGAGAAGGGAGCTTTGGTTCTGTTTACAAAGGGATCCTAAGTGATGGCATTGTTGTGGCTGTCAAGGTATTCAACTTGCAAGTGGAAGGTGCATCAACAAGTTTTGATAGAGAATGTGAGATACTAAAGAGTTTACGCCATCGAAATCTTACAAAGGTGCTCGGCAACTGCTCCAACCCTGATTTTAAAGCCTTGGTACTCAAATACATGCCAAATGGGAATCTTGAGAAGTGGTTGTACTCCCACAACCATTTTTTAGATCTGTTTCAAAGAGTAAACATAATGATTGATGTTGCTTGTGCATTAGAATATCTCCATTATAGTTATTATACTCCCGTGGTACATTGTGACCTGAAGCCTAGTAACATCTTGCTTGATGAAGATATGGTTGCTTCTGTAAGTGACTTCGGTATCACAAAAATGTTTGGCGAAGGAGAAAGTATATTGCATACCGTCACCCTGGCAACACTGGGATACATTGCACCAGGTTAATCTTGTAGCTTTGGCTATCTATATTTCCTTTACTTCTAGGTTTTTCCATCTGTTGTTTATTCTTTTGGCTCTTTCTATTATTCTAACTATTGTAATCTTATGATAGAGTATGGATCCGAGGGATTAGTTTCGAGAAGAATCGATGTTTATAGTTTCGGAATAGTTCTGATGGAAACTTTTTCGAGAGTGAAGCCTAGCGATGAAATGTTTTCAAGTGATTTGAGCCTTAAAAGCTGGGTAGAAGATTCTCTTCCTAATGCACTTCAGGTCATTGACGCAAACTTAATAAGGCCAGAGGATGAACATTTCACTGGCAAGCTGAAGTGTGTTATATTGATTCTGAAATTGGCTTTGAACTGCTGTAGAGAATCTCCAGGAGAAAGGATGAACATGAAAGATGTTTTAGCAGAATTGAAGAATATTAAGCGCCAGCTTCTTATGACAGTAAGTGCCTTGCATTTTTTTTTAAAGCAAATTTTACTTTTCAATGTAGGAAGTTACTTTCCTTATCCATTTGAGCTCATAACCTACTATTTATTGCAGCAAACTGTCAGACCTCGAGTGGACCAGATACGTTTTTTACCACATCAAACAGATATTGCTGTATAGTTCTGAAGCTTGATTTATTGTGCATGCTGGATTCCATAGTTTTCACCTACATCACATTTGGACTTTCAGTTAGATTCCATAGGTTTCTCCTACGTCATATTTGGACTTTCAGTTATGGATCACATTGCACAGCTTTTTTTTTTTTTTTTTGGCTTTTCGTTTTCTATCTTTTAATTCTGACTAATTTCTTGGATACATTTTGAGGACCTGACTATGTATCTTTTAATCTTGATCTTGAATTAAGATTGCAAAATGATGAGAGCGAACCTATTCTTGCAATAAATCTTTCTCTTCGGTAAATGAATATATCATGTTCCTTGAGCTCCTCCTAAACTATAGAAAGAGTAGCAGCTGCTGTTTGTTCTCTCTCCTTTACAACAGATATATCTTACATGCCTCCAAAGCGCTCAATGAAGAAAGCTGACTTGTGTTGGCAATTGTCTTACCTCCCTTTTCCTACATCACAAGTCTTATGGAATTCTTGAATCATCATATATCCGATTTTAAGTGCCTGTTTTTCTATGCAATGAAAATTGTGTGCAGTGGATTTGGTCATGATAGAGCTCTGCTGCCTGCTGGACTCTGGGTGTGGAGTCTAAAGAAATAGAGGTATACAAGCATGAAGTATCTAAGAATTTATAAAGCATTTTACCATAGAATATAGTTCATCAAACTTCAGCTATCGGTCTTTAATGCTACTTAAAGAATTGGCCTCGTGTGTGTAAAATTCTTGTAATGTACAGTTCTACTTTAAACAATGGGTAACAACCATATAGAGGACGTTGATGAGATAATTAATTACTAGGGAAAAATAGCAGTCGTGTTCTTGTTCTTGGAGTCTTTTAGTCTTATATATGGACTTTTCTCCAATATCCTTTGATTAGTATGAGACTAACGAAATTCATGTAGATAAAATGAGGATACACATGAGCATTTTGTTATACTATTGCTTTCTTTTCTTTACTCTTGTGGCAGAGCTATTTTGTTTAGAATCCATGTCATAGTTCAAACTAAGGTTGCAAACGAATCGAACCACTCACGAGCGGCTCCAGTTAAAAGTCGACTTGACATCGATCAATATCGAACTCGAGTCGGGTTCGAGTTGGCCAAATCGAACTCAAACTCAAAAGTATTAAACTCGTTATTTCGCGAACTCGAGTATATATATATATATATATATATATTATTTTAATAGTAAAATTACATATATATACACTTAATATTTTATTATTTATTTTTTAAAAATATTATTATATTATTTTTTAAAAAATAAAATAATTATTTTTTATTTTTTCAAATTTGAGGTCAAGTTCGAACTCGACTCGAATTTGAGTCGAACTCGAGCTCGAATTTTAAATTGGCAGCTCATCAAGTTCGAACTCAAGTTCAAGTATGATAAAAATAAGTCAAGGATCGGCTCGATTTGACAAAACTCGACTCTATTTGACTCGTTTGCAACTCTAGTTCAAACGAATTGTGATGAAAATACATGAGAGCTTCAATATTCAACAATTTGAGTTTAATATTTTACCAATAATCAATTGCTGTCTTTTACAACCTAATGGTAATATCATGTCGAATATTCTACAATAACGTAAACATTTAAAACGTATGTTAGCAACAACCAATGCAGATAGAAATTCAAGAAGTGAAAAAATGGGAGAAAAGAAAAGATTGCTAATGAAATTATTGGAAATTAATAGCTCCCTTCAATGTAATGGGCACTAAAGGTTGCAATTCGATAAATCAAAGGAAAACAAAATCTAGACAGTAGGTCAAAAAAAAATTAGATTGAAAGTTGAGTTTTGAAAACATGAAGAAAAACCAATGAGAGAAAACCCCTCGCTTAGGTGAAGATTATTATAGACATTTGCCACTGTGGAACATGAGACCAGTGGATGTTGGGGCTCACGTGGATGTTGTTACTAATGGTACTTCTAAAATCCATTACCTTATGTAAATTTCGATCCAAATAAGAAAGGCCAAAAAAAAAAAAAAGAATCCCTCAAATTAGCTGTGTGGAATTTGGGATTTCAATTACCACAAAATCTAGCAATGAATTTTCCATGCATGGTCATGATAGTTACGCAGTGAATAAAAAGGGGTATGCTTGGGTTGTAGTTTAAGTTTTGCAATGTTTGAAGACAAATTATGTAAAGTTAAAGCATGAATCACCATGTCTTGGAATATCCCAAAAAAAATTGAGATGATACTGTCAATAGTTACGGTGATAAATTACTAATTTGTTTAGTTTTTACTTAAAGATAAACTTTTAGTTGCATTTCGGTTGTTAAATTCTCTCGTACATTTCAGCTTGTAGCTGTACACAATACTTATGATAACATTGGAATAAGGGGGAAGAATGTCACACCTTTACAGCAAAATATAATAGTCCTTTCAAAAAATTATTTAATTGAAACTTTTATTTATTAATCTAAAAAAACAATATGTGATTATTAGGAATTACAAATGATAGTACTTACAGCGTGCCCAAACTTATAAAAGTAAGTGGGAGTGTGGTGTTTTCAGTTAGAAAGATACTACTCCTAATTAACTTTGAAACAATTACCAGTTAATTTAATATCTATAATTCTATACTATATATAAAGCCTGAGGAAGAAATTTGAGATTAACATTGGAGTTAACACTTTATAAGTTTTCTTTTTTACCCTTATAAAAAAAATTTTCCACTGCTAATAGAGTCCAAATAACAGTTCCCTACCATAAATTGGAATAGCAAATGCATATCATTCACTTTCAAAAATAGTAGATAATGTACTTCATATTATGACAATTGGCAATTTCGTATATATAAACAAATAACAATATTGATGTGGAGATACCAACCAATTGTGCTAATTGGTAAAATACAGTTACGAAGAAATATGATCGCTAAGCACAAGTATAAAATAAGTTGCCGCTGTATTATACATGTACAACAATTGGTAGATAATGTACTCCATATTATGGCAACTGGAAATTTCGTGTATACAAAAAAATAACAATATTGATGTGGATACATGAAGAGAGCAATTCATGTCAACCACGATATATGTATATGAAGAATCTAATGTAATGGTGAAAAAATAACTATTATGACCTATACATTAGGAATCAAATGCAATAATAAGAACTCAAAACTATGTATATGTATTTTTCGTGGGGTGTTTAGCCTAAATCAACTATAATGCTTCTAATGCTTTATTCTTTCCCCCCCCCCCTATAATTTTGATTTATTGAATGAATCCTATCCTGAATGTACTATTTAAAATTCAAAAGTGTATTAGTCTTTGAAAAAAAAAACATGTTCTTACTTATAACACGGTAATCGCTTCCTTTTTTTTTTCTTTAGTCAAACGTGGTAATCACTATTTTTAATTTACAAATAATACCCGAGGTTCATGTCAATTTAATGTTATGTTTTCACTCATGTATGCCAAGTTACCCCTTTTCAGCATAGAATATAAAAATTAAATGTAAATATTCAGAGAATGATAGTATAACTTAGCTTACATTGGTTCCTTTTTATATATTTTCAATTCAGAATGATGCATGGATGGTTTACAAGGGTTGTTGGATCTTCCTCATGGAACAGCATGCACTAAAGCAAGGTAGAGTAAGTAATTATACCAATGAGAGAATGATAATGCGGTGGTCTATCAGTTTGATAATGCCATATTAACTAATTGACACTTCTTTGGATAGTGATAATGTGTAAATATTCATAATAATATTGTAATTTAGCGGACATAACTACCAATACATTTTGCACGTAATTAAAATGTTTTGTAGGTAGTAAGGGATATGAGAAAGAGTACATTCTTAAATCAACTAGAAAATAATATCAAAGTGGCCGTTAATTTAATTATGTCACTTTTTGACCTATCTTTATTTATGTTAGCCAATTATATTATATCGATGTAAAAATGTAACTTTAAGGTGTAAATATTCATAAGGATAGTGCAATTTAACTAACATAGCTACTAGTACATTTTGAATGCGATTTAAATTAATTTATAGGTAAAAGAAAAAGTAATGTAGATGGGATATTCCCCTGAAAAAAAAGTGATATACCCTAAGAAATTTTAGTAAACTCTTACAGTAATGACAGAAAAATAGGTTGTGACCACTGATTTTATAGTAATTAATCTAATGACTTTTTCATCAATTTTTATTTATATGAACTAATCATGCGCATTACTTAATGCAGGACTAGAAAATATGCATTATTCTACTTCCAAAAAAGAAAATGTACTTCCAATAAGGAAATCAGGTAGGAGTTGAATCATCAAACATAGTGAATGATAAAAACTGATGATAACAATTCTAGCAAGAGAACTAGGTCTACCAAGCGGTACAGAACAAGTCCTAATTGTTTTCACAGGAATTAGTCGTTCAAGTATCAAAGCGGCCTTTGCCTGACTCTAATTTAAATCTATTCATACTATTTAGGTGAAATCAAATAGATATATACAGCGAAATCAAATAGAGATATATTACATGCTATTCGTACATGCTATTTGTACTATTCAGGTGAAAATCAAATAGATATATATATATATATATATACACATATATGTATATGGGTTTAAAAAAAAACTATTCGCACATATGATCAATGAAGGATGAAAAAATCTATTTTGAAAAATGTGAAGGATGAAAAAATTAATTTTGTAAAATATAAGGGATAAAAAAAAATTCATTTTGTGAAATATGAGGGATTATAAATCGAATTATATAAAATTTGATTTGACAATTTTACTCGTAAAAAATAATCATGTGCAAGGTACGTGGTAGATTCTGGCTAAAAATTAGTCGAAAACCTAGGTAGAGATCAAATTTGACAAATGTAAATTTGTAAAGGACATAAAATTATACTTTTAAAAGTAAATGACAAAAAAAGTTATTTTATAAAATGTGAGAGATATTTTAAACGAATCCCCCTTAAAATTTTCTAAACTTAGCCATCCTTGACTCTGTCATTGCTTGGATGATAATTCACAAAAAGATCCAGCCCATTAAGAAGTTGATGCTCCTTCTAGGTATTTGCATTGATTTCGTAGGATATCCTTGAGTGCTTGGATGATAATTCATGAAAAGATCCAGCCCATAAAAGAAGTTTAAGTCATATCAGGAAATCAGAGTTGTTGAAGGATTTGGACAGCATCTGACTTGAACTATTGCATTAAAGCACATCGAATCAGATCTGGACTAAAACATGATAAGTTGTAGGATATTGATCCAAGGTTAGATCAGATCAAGTCAATTGGAAGTTTTGGTTATTGAGATACGCCAAAATTACCACCTACTAGTCAAAAGCCTATTGAGGAAGTTTTCAAAAACTTGGCAGCAGGAATCGCTACTGTAACTCAACTTTTTTTCAATATTAAAATGATAGAACTGGATTTTGGTATTTTTCATAAGAATTGTAGCTCCAGATATTAGTTTTTAATGCATATCAAGAATAATCTCAATCTTATATCTGTAGTTCAAGATATATTCAAAATACTGAAACCTGCAAAATCTGAATCTCAAGCGCGATTGGATTGTAAAACTGATTACCATAAGTCTTCTATGGTAGTGCTAACGCGATTTCGTTCTTTTCCACAGCTTTCCCAACATATTTTGGCATCGACAAACCTTCCTTTAACAACCCTTTAAGTCCATTTAAGCACGGATAAACTCTAGAAATTTCAGATTAACAAAATCATGCGAAATTTTCCAAAAACTTCAAGGAAATAACCTAATTTAGGCGACGACCTACAAAAATAAAAATAACTCATTAATGTAACAAATGTGATAATAATGATGCTAGTAATTAACTAAAATGGAGTAAATTAATACATAAACAGTTTGTCTAACGGGTGCCCATAAGGCATTCATTAAGATATATTTCAGGTGTTAT